TCCTAAAATATTTGGTAGAGTTTTTCCCATAACTGGGCCTATCCACCTGTCAAAGGGCCCCCGAAAGCAATCCTAACAACATATTCATAAGACAACAATGCAGCATAGGCATTACATTGCTACAAAGGGGCATCTTAGCATAAATTGTACAAGTTTGAACATAATTCATGAAAAGTAAACTGCTGACATTCTTTAGAACACAACCACTTGGTTACATAAACAAGTGAGAGAATTTCCTCTTCATTTCTTCCTCGGCCTCCCAGGTGGCCTCTTCGACTTGATAGTTTCATCATAGTACTTTGATGGAGGCAATCTCTTTATTACTCCAATTCTGAACTTGTCTATCAAGCATGAAAATCGGAATCTCCTCATAAGTCAATTATTCATTAACTTCAATAGCCTCCACTGGGACGATGAGCGAAGGATCCCCAATCACCTTCGTCAACATAGACACATGAAAAGATTGGTGTACTAAGGACTTCTCTTGAGGTAACCCGAGCCTATAAGCCACACAACCAACCCTCTGCAAGATTCTGTATGGTTTGATACCTTGGAATGAATTTACCTTTCTTCCCAAATTGCATTATACCCTTCTGGCGACTCTGAGCGGTGTGCAATCACTCCTTAATGATCTTGACCTTCTCCATAGCCTGATACACGAGGTCTAGCCCTATCTATTTTGCTTCTCCAACTTCAAACCAACCAATGGGAGATCTATATCTCCTACCATATAGAGCCTCGAACGATGCCATCTAAATGCAGGCGTGATAACTGTTGTTGTAGGAAAATTCTATGAGTGTCAAATAATCATCCCAGCTACCCTTGAAGTCAAGAACACAAGCACACAAACAAATCCTCAAGTGTCTGTATAGTTCGCTCTTCTTGCCAGTCGGTCTGTGGATGGAAAGATGTACTAAGATTCATCTGAGTCCCTAAACCTTGCTGAAATATCTGCCAAAAGTTAGTTGTAAATTGCGCCCTCGATATGAGATGATGGAAACTGGAGTGCCATGCAATCTGACTATTTCCTTGATATACAGCTGAGTGTAGTGTTTTGTTGTGTCAGTGTTCTTAATAGGCAAGAAGTGTGATAATTTTGTGAGTCGGTCCACAATCGCCCAAATTGAATCAAACTTACAAGGCGTGCGAGATAAACCTACTACAAAGTCCATATTGATCATCTCCCACTTTCACATTGGAATTTCTATATTCTGTGCCAAGCCACCAGGTTTCTGGTGCTCGGCCTTCACTTGCTGATAGTTTGAGAAACTTGCCACATAGTCTGCCACATCCCTCTTCATGTCATTCCACCGGTAGACTTCCTTGAGATCATGGTACATCATTGTAGAGCCTGGGTGCATAGAATACTTAGAGTTGTAAGCCTCGGTCATGATTCTTTCCCCGAGACTATCTACCTTTGGAACACACAATCGCCCTTGGTACCATAGCGTACCATCATTCGTGCCAAGAGAAAAAGCCATGGTCTTTTGTTTGTGAATCCCCTCCTTCAATTACACCAATAACGGATCATCATATTATTCCTCCTTGACTTCCACTACAAGTGATGATTCATCCTTATTTTGCACAATCACCCCACCTTCACTAGAGTCCGTAAGACGAACTCCCAAACTAGCCAACCAATGAACTTCCTTGGCCAACGGCCTTTGGTATGCCTCCAATTGAGCCAAACTACCCATGGATTTCCGACTAAGAGCATCCGCCACAATGTTAGCTTTCCCTGAATGATATAGAATATCGATGTCGTAGTCCTTGAGTAACTCAAACCATCTCTTTTGCCTTAGATTCAACTCCTTCTGCTTGAAAATGTATTGAAGACTCTTTTGGTCCATGAATATGTCCACATGGACCCCATACAAATAATGACGCCAAATCTTCAATGCAAACACCACCGCCACAAGCTCTAAGTCATGTGTTGGATAATTCTTCTCATGGCTTTTGAGTTGCCTAGAAGCATAAGCAATCACCTTGCCATGTTGAATTAATACACACCCAAGTCCAACCCTTGAAGCATCGCAATATACAACAAACACATCAGTACCCTTTGGTAAGATTAACACCGGTGCATGGTCAACCTTGACTTCAACTCTTGAAAGCTCTTTTTGCAAGCATCCGACCACTGAAATTTAGCTGCCTTCTACGTCAATTTAGTCAATAGATAGGCAAGATTTGAAAACCTCTCCACAAACCTTCTATAATACCCTAGTTAAGCACAAAAAACTGGGAATCTCTGTCGGAGTTGTGGGTCTATGACAATTCTTCACATCTGCAATTCTCTGAGGATCGACCTTGATTCCCTCACTGGAAACAACATGTCCCAAGAAAGCAACAGACTCGAGCCAAAACTCATATTTCGAAAACTTTGCATATAACTTGTGCTGATATATGGTCTGCAAAACTGCCCTGAGATGGTCGGCATGGTCCTCCTAACTTCGTGAATACATAAGGATGTCATCAATGAACACTATCACAAAAAAGTTGAGAAATGGCTTGAAGACATGATTCATACCATCCATAAAGGCCGTCGGGGCATTCGTTAGCCTAAAGGAAATCACTAGAAACTCGAAGTGCCCATACCGAGTCCTGAAAGCTATTTTTATAATATCCTGCTCCCTAATCTTCAATTGGTGATACCCCGATCTTAAGTCAATTTTGGAGAAGTACTTAGCACCTTGCAACTGATCGAACAATTCATATGTCCTTAGCAGTGGGTACTTATTCTTGATTGTGACCTTGTTGAGCTATCGATAGTTAATACACATCCTCAGTGACTCATCCTTCTTCCCTACAAAGAGAATCGGTGTGCCCCAAGGCAACACACTCGGCCAGATGAAACCCTTCTCTAGAAAATCCTTCAACTGCTCCTTCAGTTCCTTCAATTATGTCGGAGCCATTCTATAGGTAGAATTGATATAGGTTGCATGCCCGGCAGTACATCGATCCCAAAGCCAATATCCTTGTCTGGTGGGATCCCAGGAAGCTCATTAGGAAAGACCTCTAGAAATTCATTCACAACAGGCACGAACTCAAGTGTCGGTGCCTCAACCTCAGTTCCGTGACTCGGACCAAGTGGTAGATATACCCTTTATGGATCATCTTCGCAGCCTTAAGGTAAGAAATAAACCTACCCTTTGGCATAATATCATCCCCCTTCCACTCAATGACTGGCTTGTTAGGAAACTCAATCCTGACGGTTCTAGTTTGGCAGTCAAGCTTAGCAAAACATGAATAAAGCCAATCCATCCTCATTATTACATCAAAATCCACCATCCTCAATTCAATGAGATTGGCCATGATGTTTCGACCATGCACCGTGACAATAAAATCCCTATTAACCTGTGTGGCCACAATAGACTCACCAACTAAAGTAGATACATAGAACGGCTCATGAAGTTGTTCCAGTTCTATCCTAAATTGCATAGATACATAAGGAGTGACATATGACAAGGTGAAACCAGGATCTATAAGAGCATATACATCATAGGATTGGATAGTCAATATACCTGTGACGACATTTGGAGAAGCCTTTGAACTCTGGCGGCCCCTCATAACATAGAACCTACTGGATCTTCCCAAACCCCATGTACCACCCCTAGCTGCACCATGCCCTACGAGTGTTGGAGTACCTCGAGCCGGAGGAGGTTCTGCAGAAGTAGTAGCTGCTGAACTGGCCGGTTGCGCCATACCCCTACCAACATTTTGATGGGACGAATGGCAATCTCTCTAAATATGACCCATGAGACCACACTCATAGCATATGGGAAGGTCCATGTAATAGACTTGTGAGTGCATCTTCCCACACCTAGGGCAGGAGGGCCTCCGGTGCGGCTGAAATATCCAGCCTGACTGACCAGGCTGATAAGACCCCATATTGCCCTGACAGGGCCTAAAATGACTCCACTACTGCTGATCGGGCCCTGATGGCGGTGCACTGGCTGAAGACTGAGAAAAATACTTTATCGGTCTAGATGACCCTCCCATGAACATCACCTTTCCACCACTACCACCACTGAAAGAACCACCAAAGTTGCCCGCATACCGAGCCTTCTTGTTACCATCTCGCTCCATATTTCCCTTAGATTTTCGGGTCTTTGTGGCTTGAGAAATTTCCACCATCTTCCCATAGTTCATATCAGAATTCAAGGCTATTGTAGTGGCCTCGTTAATAACCAAAGAGCTAAGGCCCTGCACAAACCTGCGAACCCTGGCTTCCATCGTGGGAAACATGTAGCTGACATCCTTGGAAAGATCTACAAACATTATATGGTAGTCCCATACACTCATACTACCTTGCTTCAAGTTCTAAAACTCGGCGGCATGGGCTTCCCTAGTCTCGACAGTTAAGAAATGATCAATGAAAGCATCCGCAAACTCACTGTACTTTGTCGGAGGGCTCCCCTCCTCACATGACTCCTCCTACAATTCAAACCATGAATATGCCACTTCCTTTAGGTGATAGGAGTCCAATTCCATTGCTTCTGTCTCAGTGTCATGCATCACAAAAAGTGTCTTGTGCATGTCATTAATAAATGCCTAGGGGTCCTCCTCGGGCTTAGTACCCGTGAATACCGGAGGATCCAACTAAAGGATCACTCTGGAAATAGCAGAATCCCCTTAGTGACCGGAAAAAGTAGGTGTAGCATTTAATCTTTGGGCTTGGGAAGCCAATATCTGAGTCAACCTCTGTATGGATCCCCTAAGGTCCACATCACAAACAGTAGGACCGGTGGTTGAGGATGGAGGTGGAGCTGGAATATCAGTCGGAGGAGGAATCAGTGCATTCTCAGCAGGACAAGAAATTTAATTTTTAACGACCATTTCTTAACGAAGGAACATGTATCCGGTCGTTATAAGTATATTTATAGCAACCAAATATTTTTTCAGTCCTTGAAATTAATTTTTAACTCAATATTAACGAGGGAAAAGTATTCGGTCGTTAAAATATAACATAGCCCGTCGTTANCCTAAAGAGTCCGAAGATGTCGACTTTTGATCTCCTCTGTTTTGAACGAATTAGCAGAGAACTGTTGCGACGAATTCAAATAATTAGAGAAACTGCTCTACTCGTAATATTCAGCGAATTAGAGAACGAAGCTGCTCGTCACCTCCATTGACAACAAGTGCTCATCTTCGAGTTTCTTCTCATCAAGGTAAGGTTCAAGATTTTACCCTTTTCTATGTGAATTGATTAATAATTTTTCTAGAAAAGGCATCTGAACTAGGAGCAGGGATGAGAGAGGCCAGAGCATAGATTGTGATTTGACTCCCCATCTGTTGAGCGATATCTGTTTTGAACGAGCAACTGTTATATCTCCTGTCATGATTAAATCATTTTTTCTAACAGTTTATTCTGAATGTCAATTTCGTACTATCAGTTTCATTGAGTGCCAAGTATAACTGTCGAATATCGGTCCTCTTAAAATTAAAGTTGATAATTTTTAGCTGTTGTATAACTATAGGGTTGTGATCACACTTGTATGTATATGGATGTTGGTGTTCACTTTGGTGAAAGAATGACACAAAATACAAAAATTATTTCTATCTATAAATTGTCTGATTCTACGGTGAGGTCTGCTGGTTAATGCTTATTTCAATCTGATCCATTTTTGATTCTATGAAAGAATGCACACGGTCAAGTTGGCATTAATATGGATCTGCCTCTTTCTGTGTTGTTTTATACAAAGCCGATTTTATAGTTATATTTTTGTTGCATTGCACATTGAAATTGAAAACTGCAAAATTAAGCTAATGTCTAGGATTCCATTTCTAACTGAGGTAAATAAAACATTTAAATTAATTCTAAAATCTGGACAATATCTTACTAAACCGAGTTCGATGTGTTCGTTGTGATTAAAAACAAATCATCGATTCCTTATGCCATTTATTGTTTTTAGTGTTTTTTAGATATAGTGGACAATGCCCATTTGATGACTTAGTATCATTTGAATTTTTATTTTTATGAGAGACGTCCGATAAGGAGATATCTCGTTTCTTGCTTTTTGAAAATAGATTAATAGCATTAGAAGTCAGTCCTACTTAAGTATTTTGGAAACATAGTATTGTCAAGGAGAAACTTGCTGCATGTGTTAATCGAGTACCAGGCAAGCACAACTCCTAATTAGTACTCTAACTAGCTAATGTAACCTTCATTTTTCTATCTTGCACCAACTGGATGATCCATTTCCCAAAGTATCTTTGCCGTCATTTGCCTATTTAGACCTTAGCAATTCAGTTTCAATTCAACATGCTGCTATTACTGTTGTGCTTGAGAAAATGGTGTACACTCTTATTGTCATGAATTGAATTATAGTACAGATGCTAATTCCTCGTCATTTCCTAGTCTCACTTAGCACTGGAACTTAGAAGTTTGATTCATGTGCTGTCTCGTCAGTGATATAAAGCATTGTTGGTTACAAGATTGTTAACCATGGAGTGCTTTATATCTTTTAGCTTCTTTATAATGTGCGATACAAAACTTGGATATATGAACTCAATATATTGTTGTTTCACTTGTTTACTGCCCGTGGTGTTGCGTGCTTTTGACTACACTCCCTTTCCGGAGATTGAACCTCATTGAGATGTTGATTCCATGGCTTTTCTTTGATGTGGTTGGGCTGCTATGGCGTTGAAAGTATTGATGTCCTCTTTTTTCGTTTTCTCTTAGAGGAACTACATTCCCAAAAGATCAATACTACAAATAACTGAAGGGATATGCATTGAAATTATGTAAAATGTCTTGTCAACACCATTTTTTACATTTTCTCGAGTCGAGGGTGTTTTAGAAACAACCTCTCTACTTTCTTTACCTCCACACGGTAGGGGTAAGGTCTGCATACATACTACCCTCCCCAGACCCCACTTGTGGGACTCCATTGGGTTTGTTTGTTTGGATATAGTTGACGAATCTAAAAAGTGAATTCATTATTTTACTTTTCTGTTACATTTGGACTCTACAAGTATTTCAATAACCATTGGCTCTTGTGCACACTGCCTCCTCCTTAGCCCGTGGTTGTTCAAATTCCATTCTTGTCTTCCCAATAAATTAAAACTTTGAGGTTTAGCTAGATCATCTTTTATATGGTAGAGTTGTTGTTGAGAGACCCCTTCTTCCACTCTCCAAAAGGATTTTATTTATGCCCCTATTTAAGGATTTTATGTCCTTTATGCTGGTAGTGTAATGCTACTATGTATTATATTTCTCTAAGTGAGTGAAGTGGTTAATTTGTGAATTTGAGTTCCTTCTTTGTCTTTCTTGTCCTCCTCTACAATAGATCTTTTATGGTTCTCTACTTGTTAAGGATAAAAGGCTTGGATAAATGAAAAAGAGAATCTTGGGATGTACTTCATTTGCAAAATTTTGATCTTTATCTTTATTAAACATACTACTTGTCTTATATAAGGTGGACTCAAGATATACTTTATGATGTCACAACAATGTTCTTCATGCTGAATTACCAATAATTTAATCATTAAAGTTGAATCCACATTTATGTGAGAACTTTGTTGTAGATAGTCTAGTTTTAGCTTGATTATTATCATTTCTCTGAGGTTGTATATTAGTTTGTTATAGATAGTCTAGTTTTAGCATGATTATTTCGTGTCCTCTATTAGATAACACTAATACTTTTGTTATAGCTGTATATTGACTATAGATTTTAAATAGTTTTGATGTTGCTACATTTACTCTTACAAAGGTTCTCTGTATTGTCTAGTTATGATTTTTTACCAAGGGGTAGTGGATATAGAATTTTCTCTGTTAGAGTTGTAGAGATGGAGTACACTGCCTTAAGAGAAAAAATAAAAGATAGAGCGTTCTTTAGTTTCTATACCAAGATTAGATTCTAAAGATAATTTAAAGTACTATTTTCATAATCAACATCCACACTATAAGAGCATCAATACAAAGTAAATTCTTTTTTAGTTTCCTCGATTTGTAGCTTATTTATAAAACCGTTATCAAAATATATTCTCAATTATCAAAAGTACTAGAAATTTAACATATTTATTCATCCTTTATTGTAAAAATTAAGGTTGTTACTTGGGCTATAGGCCAGTGAAATGGTGGATGCGAGAAATTGTTCAAATGGATTATAAAAATAATCTGCGAAAGTAGATTGACTAATATTCCTTAGTAAAGGTGACTAATATGTTTTCATTCGCTTATGTTCATTTCCTATTCATTGCTATACTAATATTTTTTAGTTGAGTATATATGTATATTAATTTTGTATATGCACCAGATTATGGCACCTGATAAGCAATGGATGAAACTTATTCATGATCGACTTGATAACGCTTACATACTTGGGGTTGAGAACTTTCTCGATTATGCTTTTAAAAGATTGGGAGAAACATGCAAAATACGTTGTCCATGCATCAAATGCTTAATGCAATTTCAGGAACACGTGAGTTGGTTAGGTCACATTTAATAGTACACGAAATAGTCCAAAATTATACCATTTGGTATCACCATGGGGAGAGATTAGGTGAGTGCTCTTCAGATTATGAATTTGTAAATGATAATATCATTGAAGAGGGTGATGGTGAGGATGGAATACATGAAATTTTAAGAGATTTATATCCCACTTTTGAAGGAGACAATATGAACAATGATGGTGATGGGCTGTTTGAGGAGGAACCAAATATTGAAGCAAAAAGATTCTATAGGATCTTAAAAACTTTTGAGCAACCATTGTACTAAGATTAAAAAGTTTCTAAACTTTCTACTTTGGTAAAGTTGCTTCATATCAAAAGTATTGGTAATTGGAGTAATGCATCATTTACAATGCTGTTGAATCTCTTGAAGGAAGATTTATTGTAGGATGGATCCAACTTGCCAGATTCATATTACGAAGCAAAGAAGGTAATTCGGCACCTAGGGCTTTCTTACAAGAAGATTGATGCATGTAAGAATGATTGCATATTATACCGGAAGGATGATAAGTCTCTTGGGTCTTGCAAAGTTTGTGGTGTATCTAGATGGAAGGAGGATAAACATAGTGGGAAAACCAAATTTAAAAGTGAGAAAAAGATACCATACAAGATTTTACGTTATTTTCCTCTAAAGCCAAGACTGCAAAGATTATTTATGTCCTCGAAAATATCTTCTCTGATGAGATGACACCATGACAAAAGAGTTTATGATGTAATAATGAGGCACCCAGCTGATTCAATAGCGTGAAAAACATTTGATGAACTTCATCAATCGTTTGCATCTGAGCCTCGTAATGTTCGACTTGGACTTGCTAGCGATAGTTTTCATCCATTTGGAAATTCCAAAACTCCGTATAGCATTTAGCCTGTGGTACTTATTCCTTATAATTTACCACATTGGCTATGTATGAAGAAAAAAAATTTTATTTTGTCGATGATTATTCCTGGTCCTGAGAGTCCTGGAGATGCTATTAATTTTTATCTCCAGCCTTTGATAGAGGAATTAAAGGAATTGTGGGAATCTGGAGTGGAGACCTTTGATGCGTCAACTAAACAAAATTTTATGTTACATGCATCTTTATTATGGACCATTAATGACTTTTCCGCATATGCAAATTTGTCTGGATGGAGTACAAAAGGAAAACTAGCATACCCATGTTGCAATAAAGAAACTCACTCAATTAGGTTACAAATTTATAAAAAATAACAGTGTTATATGGGTCATAGATGCTTTCTTCCTCTTAATAACAAATGGAGGAATGATAAAGCGTCATTTGATGGCACTAAGGAGCAAAGATTACCACCAAAACAGTTATCTGGTGATGATATACTTGATCAAGTAGTTGATTTAGATGGGTTACAACTAACAAAGGATCCAAAGAAGAAAATTAAAATATCACATGAGAGTAGGGGTGATAATTAGAATAAGAAGAGTATGTTCTTTGATCTCCCATATTGGAAAACTCTTTTATTGCTGCATAACTTAGATGTAATGCACATTGAGAAAAATATATGTGATAATATTTTGGGGACAATCTTAAATATCAAAGAAAAAACCAAAGACACCATAAAGACTCGGTTGGATTTGCAAGCAATGAACATTAGGAAAGAATTGCATCCAATAAAAATTGGGGATAAATATGACTTACCAACAGCATGTTAGACATTATCTCCTAAAGAGAAGCACAGGTTTTTTAGTTTCTTGAAGAACTTAAAGGTCCGAGATGGATTTTCATCAAATATTTTCCAGTGTGTCAACCTTAAAGTTCTCAAAATTTCAGGTTTTAAAAGTCATGATTGTCATGTTCTTCTACAACATTTACTCTCACTTGCTCTACGGGGTATGCTATGCAAATCTGTGTGTGAACCGCTTATTGAGTTATCTTTGTTTTTCAACGTGCTTGGATCAAAATATTTAAGTGTGGATAAATTAGAGCAGATAGATGCCCAAATCCCAATAACTGAGTGCAAGCTAGAAAAAGTCATCCCTCCTACATTTTTTGATGTCATGGAGCACTTGCCAATTCATTTAGCTAATGAAGCTAAGATTGCTAGACCTTCTCAATATCGATGGATGTATCCAATAGAGCGATATATATACTTTATGAAATCATTTATTCGTAATAGGTCTTGCGCAGAAGGTTCTATTGCAGAGGGATATTTAGCAACTGAATGTATGACCTTATGTTCAAGGTATTTACATACAATGGAAACAAAGTTTAATCGCCTTGAACGAAATTATGATGGTGGTATTATAGAATCTGATGGAGGTTTAACAATTATTTGTCAACCCGGAAGAGCTTTAAGAGGTGGCAAACCACATAAACTTGATTCAAATAAACTGGAGCAAGCACATTTTTATATTTTGAAGAATTGTGATGAAATTCAACCATTTCTCGAGTAAGTAATGACTTGTTTCAATAATTTACTTTTATGTACCTTCTCCAAATTTTTTTATTAAAATGACATGTTATTATGCTTTAATTATTTGTAGAGAGTTTCAACTAACTCCAGTTGATACCTCTCAAAAAAATTCTGATAGGCAATTCATTAGTTGGTTAAAACAAAAGGTGAGTACTAGTTAACATTAATTATTTTCAAACCAAGTATGTAAATATTATTTGCTAAACTATGTGCTTGATCTTGATAGGTTGCAACAACAATAACAACCCAGTAAAATCCCACTAATGGGGTCTGGGGAGGGAAGTGTGTACACAGACCTTACCCCTACCCCGAAGGAATAGAGAGACTGTTTCCGAAAGACTCTCGACTCAAAAAAAATAAAAGGACAAAAGGACAAAAAGGGAGACAATATTAGTATCACAACAACACTCATAGGATAAATAGGAACACCATGAAATCCAGAAGAAAGATGCAAAGCAAAGGGAGATAATATTAGTAAATATTAGTATCGCCACATAAATGCAATGATAGTAAAAACAAATGGCAGATTTGCTCTCATTGTCACATGGTCCCACGATATACGTGATAAGTCATCGCGGATACCTTATTAATGAATATAAGTTTCACGTGAAGATTATGATAAAGGTTTGAGAACTCAGAACTGCGGGGTGGTTGTAGTTGGAGAGACAGGTGAAGAGAATAAGAACATTGATTACTATGGAGAACTAATAGATATAGTAGAATTACAATTTATTAGTGGAGGAAGAATAGTTTTATTTCGATATACGCGGTTTGATGTGTATGACCCAGAAAAGAGAGTTAAAATAGATTAATATGGCTTTGTAAGTGTTAACCGCCAGCGATTTCTGAAAACAACTGAGCCTTTTATATTAGCTAACCAAGCATCACAAGTTTTTTATGTTGACGATCTTTCCAATAAAGGTTGGCATGTTGTACGAAAAGTTCAACCTCGTGATACTTTTGAGGTTTTGCAAGAAAATATTGATGATATAGAGGAGTTAAATCATTCTTCACAACGGAAAAAGAAAAGAACTGATGAAGGTTTGGATATTTATCAACTCCTTTATTTAATTAGGTAACTCACTTGTGATGAGGGAAGTTTCGTACTGGATTCCATTTGATTTACAAGTTCAGAAAAGGTTTCTAAAATTATACTAGTGGATTTTCTCTTAACTGATTATATATTCTTATATGATGAATCTCACTTGCTAAATATTTGTTTATCTCCAGGTTTCTATGTATCATGTTTCTGTAAATTATCTTTATTACTATTGTTTATGGCCATGTAACTTCCTAGCTTCTTTCAAAGACCTTCATATGTTCATATATGATAAAACTGACATGATAGACATATGTTACTCAATTCTTTTGTGTTAGGTTAACATGAATCCATTAAAATATCAGAAATCTAAAATGGAATCAAGTTCGAAGACTGTTAAGCATGTGTACGTTCCACCTGGTACCTTAGTAAAGGAACGAGGACGGAGCTTCAGAGCATTGGGTTCTGTAAGAGTAAATGCTGAACAACGAGGTTTGATTGGCAAAAGTAAAGCTTTTAATGTATTAGCTTTTGATCTGAATAAGGTAACTCATAATGATAGTCTTGCACCTCCTGGTTTTGATCAAATATTTGAAGGTGATACTCTTTTTCCTCATGAAGAAGAAGAGCGGCAGGGCACTCACAGAAGTGAAATAAGTATTTTATTATCTCAAGCTATAAGATTTTTTTGTTATTATTTTATAAGAACTATTTTTATAATTGACATAAATTTGAATTTGCAGGGCTTTGTGAATCTGAAAAGGTAAAAAAGCTGAGAGGAACGAATTGGTGTAAAAATATTGCAGGACTCAAAGTTGGAGAAAATATTGCGCCTCCTGGTTTTGATCAAATATTAGAATGCGATACTCTTTTTTCTCATGAAGAAGAAGAGATGCACAGTACCTAGAGAAGTGAAATAAGTATTTTATTATCTCAAGCTATAAGAGTTTATTGTTGTTATTGTATAAGAACTATTTTTATAATTGACATAAATTAAAATTTTCAGGGCTTTGTGAATCTGAAAAGGTTAAAAAAACTGAGAGGAACGAATTGGTGTAAAAATATTGCAGGACTCAAAGTTAGAGAAAATTTTGTGCCCCCTAGTTTTGATCAAATATTAGAATGTGATACTCTTTTTCATCACGAAGAAGAAGAGATGCAAGGCACTCAGAGAAGTGAAATAAGTATTTTATTATCTCAAGTTATAAGATTTTTTTATTGTTATTGTATAAGAACTATTTTTATAATTGACTTAAATTGGAATTTGTAGGGCCATGTAAATCTGAAAAGGTAAAAAAACTGAGAGGAATGAATAGGTGTAAAAATGTTGCAGGACTCAAAGTTGGAGAAAATGTTGCGCCTCCTGGTTTTGATCAAATATTTGAAGTTGATACTCTTTTTCCTCATGAAGAAGAAGAGATGCACGACACTCATAGAAGTGAAATAAGTAATTTATTATCTCAAGTTATAAGATTTATTTTGTTGTTATTGTATAAAAAGTATTTTTATAATTGACTTAAATTGGAATTTGCAGGGCCATGTGAATCTGAAAAGGTAAAAAAACTGAGAGGAACGAATAGGTGTAAAAATGTTGCAGGAATCAAAAATGGAGAAAATGTTGTGCCTCCTGGTTTTGATCAAATATTTGAAGGTGATACTCTTTTTCCTCGTGAAGAAGAAGAGATGCAGGGCACTCAGAGAAGTGAAATAGGTATTTTTTTATCTCAAGCTATAAGATTTTTTTGTTGTTATTGTGCAAGATCTATTTTTATAATTGAGTTAAATTGGAATTTATAGGGCCATGTGAATCTGAAAAGGTAAAAAAAGTGAGAGGAACGAAAAGGTATAAAAAAGTTGTTGGACTCATAGTTGGAGAAAAGTTGCCCGTCATTTTCTACCACAATATTTTCTACCACAATATTGGTTTGTGATCGTAATATATGCCTATTGTGTGTACACTCACGACAGACATAGAAGAATAAGTTACGGTAAAGATTTAAAGCATTACTTTCTTGATTTGCCTTCTCCATTTCTACTTGTTAATATTATATGTTAACTCAATTTCTTCTTTTTTTTCAATATCTGCTGATTTTTAGACGTTCGTAAATGAGTTAAATGTTCATCTTTTTCATCTGTCTTTCAAGGGACTTATTCCAACAATACCATCAAAGAACAGTAAACTAATTATAGTACTAGTTTTTAATATGCCTTTAAAATAGTAGAAGGAAAATGATAAAGAGGTTAAAGAAGATTTGGAAATGGTCCAACTACTGGTAACAAACAAGGACAATTATCTAGGAAGCAGCGATTGCGAGAACGAGTAGAAAAAAAATTCACCCAATTACTTCTAACATCCTAGCATAAAAACTGATCAGATCATTGAAGTATGCAGAGATATCCAATTAAATGATTGCGCAACTCATTTACTCTCCAGCTTGTTTTCTGTCAACTGTTTAGCTAGGCTTGTCGATTAATTAATTAATTGACTTGCTTATTATGGTGGGGAAGAAAATATCAAATTTATTCACAAAGCATGACTTAGTTTGATGGAAAAAAACATCATATCATGATTTGATTATGAAAATCATTGAGGAAGATACAACATGTGTAAAGCTAATACTAGGCAAGAGCAAATGAAGCTGATGTCGCATTAACTCAGAGAACTCTAATAACATACATGATAATGTTCGAGCAGTCAAATTTAAGACATAGTTGTCCATTCTCCCCATCCGAAGAAAAACATCCATTTTTGTCCATTTCCAGTACTTTATGCTGTCATACTCAGTGCTCTAGTTAAATTTTTATTTTTTTAGTTTATAAGTTAAGTTTCTACATTTCCTGATTCCGCCGATCTTAATGTGGACCCATTTTCTTCATTCTCATTTTTCCCTTTCTCTTATGTCTATAATATATTGTAACATTCTCTCCCAAGCGTTCCCTTCCCTTCCCGTAACGGTAACATAACGGTAACAAAACTAGCGACCAATTCAGTCGCCAGCGACTACCCTCCACCCAGATAAGTCCCCTCTCTCTCCTCTCTCCTCCCCATAAGCCCACACCCCTCCTCACTCTCTTCCCCCATCACTCTCACCCCGCTTCTCCTCTTTCCCGTCTTGTCTTCTCCATCTCTCACTGCCGGCGAGACGCCGGCGACGTCTCTCTAATCTTCTACACTCTGCCGGTCGTCCTCTTTCCCCCCTCGTTTCACTTGACCAGACCCGTGTGCGCTGGGGGTGTGCTCTTTCACTCCATAGTGAACAAGACATCAGACTCCAGCGAGATACGGTCCGGTCACCAGCTAGTGGGAACAACCACAACCAGGTTTCAGGCCTGTTTACGGCGTCGTGGTCACACGCAAACCAGACCCGTCTGCAAGCCAAGTGATTCATTTTCCAGCAACTCCGGCCAGTTCTTTGACTACCACCATCGGCCCCACCGTCTCCGTCGACGATACCAGGTTCTACGTTCATGTCTCATTACACTTTGTCGTAGATACACTTTGTTTAAATTTGTTTCATTGTTTGTAGTGTGTTCTATACTAGTATTGTGCTATAGCTGTGGTTTAAATGCTTAGATCATTTAATTGTTTGACTCACTTGTATTGTTTAGATCCTTTGTATTTTCTCTCGGCCCTATTAGTACTGTCTAGGGTATTTAGTTGGACATATCTTGTTGATCCTGTGTCTTTAATTTATAATTAGTTAAATTGTTGTCGTCTTAGTCCATATTTTTTTATTCACCATATTGGTGTGCCTATAGTTGCAACTTGTCTTCTTCTAGTTTGGGTTGTTGCCTTGTGTGTGTTAGTGATTCCCCTTAGTATATCATATGTATAGTGGTTGCTGTTTGGGATGGTCGAGTGAGGTCATGTCCTCGAGGGGAGCGCGAGGTAGGGCAGGGGTTGGGGGTGGGTCGGGAGGCAAGGGAGGTATAGGGAACAAGGGTGTCCACTGGTTGAGAATTGGGTCATGGAATATAGGTACATTGACGGGTAAGTCTATAGAGTTGGAAAAGATTCTCCAGAAGAGGAGGGTCAATATAGAGTGTGTCCAAGAGACAAGGTGCATAGGGTCGAGAGCGAGGGACGCGGACGGTTACAAACTTTGGTACTTAGGAGTCCAGAAGGGTAAGAATGGAGTGGGTATCTTGGTGGATAGGGAACTTAGAGAGTCTGTGGTTGAGGTTAGACGAGTGAATGATAGATTGATGATTATTAAGTTGGTGGTTGGAGAGTGCACTCTAAATGTCGTTAGCGCCTATGCGCCGCATGCGAGCCTAGATGAGGAGGTTAAACGGTGTTTCTGGGAAGGGTTAGATGAGATTGTGTGCCAGGTTTTGCCTGTTGAAAAGCTATTCATGGGAGGGGATTTTAATGGTCATATTGGGTTGACCGCAGGTGGTTATGGCGAGGTGAATGGAGGCTTCGGTTTTGGGGAGAGGAACGGAGGAGGTACCTTGTTGTTGGACTTCGCTAAGGCTTTTGGGTTGGTGATTGCGAACTCTACATTTCCGAAGAGGGAGGAGCATTTGGTTACTTTTCAAAATGCGGTGGCGAAGACTCAGATTGACTATCTCCTCCTCAGGAGGTGTGACAGAGGGTTGTGCAAGGATGGCAAGGTGATTCCAGGTGAGATACTCGCGACACAGCATGCGCTCTTGGCGATAGACATTGGTATTATGTTGAAGAGGAGGAAAAGGTCTGCTCGAGGAAGACCGAGAATCAGGTGGGGAG